AGAACCAAGCACAATTTAAAAGAACTTCAGCCGGTCATAAAGGGACAGACATAGGGAGAGCTTGGGCGTTTGGATCTGTGTCACTCCCAGGTGACAAGATCCGTTGGGGCACCTTTCCAGCCTTTCCCAGGCTGCCCGCTGCGAAGGAACTTTGTGTTCTAGCAGTTAAAATCTAAGGTGTAATAAGCTCTTCCTATATAACGGGGCGTCTGTTGGCCTGCTGGCCACCCTCTGCGACGGGACCCCGGTCCTAGCAGTAAAGACACGGACGTTAAACCTTTTCTCGGAAGCACACACACACACACTGCCCTGACCGTCGGCTGACAGGGACAGGTCCTCAGCCCCAACCTGTTGTGTCCAAAGCCCCCCCCCCCACCTCTTCTGCCAGGTTCCCCACTGGAGCCCCAAACTCCACACTACAGTTGGAAGAGCTTTGCCCCAGCTGCCCTGAGACCTGGTCCCTCTGGTAGTGGGGGAGGTGGTTCTACAAGCAAAAACTTCCAGATCTGCGCTAGGTTTGGGACAGTCGGTGTGTCTGTCTGTCTGTTCTCAGAAAACCCTGCAGAAAAGAGGCAGAATCACTAGGCAGGTGAAAGTGCACCTCCCCCCAACAGGGACTGCCCCAGCCCCTAACCTCCCACCCTTGTAGGCACTTGGGGAAGGGGGGGGCTGAAACAATCCCCCCTCGATTCATAGGTCAACAAGTCTGGCTGCTCCCCTTCCTCAGGGCGTGAGGGGAAAGTGTGCACTTTGCTGCTTTTCTCACTCTGGCTGGGAGGTGCAGGGAGGCAGATGAACCTGGATCTGCCCCGGGTGGGGAGCATGCACCTCTCCCCTCGGCTGTGCCCCCTGGAGCTGCAGTGGCCATGGAGCGGGGCTTCCCCCCTGGCCACAAGCTGCTGCGGTGACCGAGGGCAGCCGGAACCCCTCACTCCCACCCCCAGCCCCAGAGCAACGACTGTAACAAACTTTGGACTTTTTCGTTTTCATTTCCAAAACAGAACAATGTGCTGAATTAAGGGGCCCGAGCAGAAAACACCCGGCCACAGGGCGCAACTCTCCTCTGTGCCCCTTCTTTGAGACCGCGAGGAGAAAGTAGCTTCCCGGAAATCCCATAAAACATCCCCCGGTAACGTACCAAGAGCGCAGCAGAAGAACGTCGTTTCCTATGGCTCCCCCGTCTTCCTGCAGCCCGCTGGGCTAGTGACGGTAGAGGGTTCTGCTCCCGGACCCCACGCGAGTGGCCAGCGAAAGAAAGCACACGCCTCCGGTCTCAGCGAATAGCTCTAGCATCATTTGCAGGCAAAGTACGAAACGGACGGTGGTTTAGCGGTGGCCCTCCGAGGACCAGGATCCATTTCACATGAAATGTTCGGCTAAAGAATAAAGGCCGCAGAGTGAGTCCGGGGGAGAAAAACCCAGACCAAACGGTATGTAGAGGAGCAAAGATCACCTACCTGAATACTGCTGAACAACGTGAGACTCTCCACATAACATCCACGTCAAGGCAAATAAGTTTATTGCATGCTGTTAATACTGGAGAGATAAAGAGTTATCTGAAAGAAATACCATGGTACGAAACTGTTTTTCCAAGGGAACTGTTTCAGTTTCTTTGCCTCCCAGTATTACTAGGCTAAAACTGGTCTATGCCAGTGCAGCGAGGAGTCCTGTGGCACCTTATAGACTAACTGAAGTGTTGGAACATAAGCTTTCGTGGGCAAAGACCCACTTCGTCAGATGCATGTAGTGGAAATTTCCAGAGGCAGGTATAAATATGCAGGCCAGGATCAGGCTGGAGATGACGAGGTGGATCCAATCAGGGAGGATGAGGCCCACTTCTAGTAGCTGATCTGGAGGTGTGAATAGCAAGAGAGGAGAAGCTGCTTTTGTAGTTAGCCAGCCATTCACAGTCTTTGCATAATCCTGAGCTGATGGTGTCAAACTTGAAGATGAACTGTAGCTCAGCATAGTGATAGAAATAATAATAATAATAATTATAATAAACCATCTTGTTAGTCTTTAAAGTGCTACATTGTGCTGTAGCTCAGCAGTTTCTCTTTGAAGTCTGGTCCTGAAGTTTTCTGGCCCTATGCCAGTGATTCTCAACCTTTTTGTATGAAACAAAAGACAGGACTATGTAGCACTTTAAAGACTAACAAGATGGTTTATTAGATGATGAGCTTTCGTGGGCCAGACCCACTTCCTCAGATCAAATAGTGGAAGAAAATAGTCACAACCATATATACCAAAGGATACAATTTAAAAAAATGAACAAATATGAAAAGGACAAATCACGTTTCAGAACAGGAGGGGAATGCGGGGGGGGGGGGGGGGGGACCCCTTTTAAAAAAAATTGTAAGTACCCCCAGTACCTACAGTTTTTTCAAAACGCAATGGTTTTTTTTCTGCCATTGCAACATGTTTAAACAACTTCAGCGTCATGAAGGGGGTGATAAAATGTTTCGGTGTGAAAAGTACAGAACGAATACAACGCTGTAAAACTTAAAACAAAAATTCAGTTTTCTCCACATTTCAGTGGTGCAAACTTACCCCCCAGATGTCTCTCGGGTACCCCTGAGGGGACTCATACCCCTGGTTGAGAAACGCTGGTCTAGACGGTGCTGGGTCCTGCCGTGAGGGCAGGGGACTGGACTTGATGGCTCTCGAGTTCCCTGCTGGGTCTAGGGTTCTGTGCTTTTATTCCTCCGTTCCTCTGCGCTGGTTAGGCCTCAGTTGGAGTATTGTGTCCAGTTCTGGGCACCACATTTCAAGAAAGATGTTGAGAAGTTGGAGATGGTCAAGAGAAGAGCAACAAGAATGATGAAAGGTCGAGAGAACAGGAGCTAGGAGGGAAGGCTGAAAGAATTGGGTTTGTTTAGTTTGGAAAGGAGAAGACTGAAGGGGGACATGAGAGCCATTTTCAGGTATCTAAAAGGGCGTCACAAGGAGGAGGGAGAAAACTTGTTCATCTTGGCCTCTGAGGATAGAACAAGAAGCAATGGGCTTAAACTGCAGCAAGGGAGGTTTAGGTTGGACATTAGGAAAAAGTTCCTGCCTGTCAGGATGGTCAAACACTGGAATAAATTGCCCAGGGAGGTTGTGGAATCCCCATCTCTGGAGATACTGAAGAGCAGGTTGGATAAATGTCTATCAGGGATGGTCTAGACAGTATTTGGTCCTGCTGTGAGGGCAGGGGACTGGACTCGATGACTCTTGACATCCCTTCCAGTCCTAGTATTCTAGGATTCTATGATTTTCCTCTCTCTCATATCAAAGAAGGAGAAAGAGCAACTAATGAAATGAAAGGGTGGACACTTTAAAACAGGTACAAGGAAATGCATGTTCACAGATAAACTTCTGAAAGCAACTGTCGCAGCCATTACGGGAAGCCAACGGTTTATTGGAGTCAAAGGATAATTAGTAGGATGGATTATGAAAACACTTAGGTTATAGCTACACTCGCGGCTTCCTGCGCAAGTGCGGCTGTTCTTGCGGAAGAATCCGCAAAGCGTCCACACGGCCCGCCCGCTCTCACGCAAGGGAATTTACAGCACGGCGTGGGAAGAGAGGGCTTCTTGCGTGAGAGCTACACGCTCTTCTAGCAGGGGTAAGCCCTCTTCCACAGGAGCTCTTGCGCCAGAGGGCAGTGTGGATGCTGAATTATTTTACATATTCCGCATGCTAATTAGCTCGCCTATTTTGCATGCTAATTAGCTCTCACATTTGCATATTCACCTGATGATTAATTTGCATATTCATCGTGATCATTAATTGACTAGAATGAATCAGTGGATTAAAATTAATTAATTAACATTAATTAATTTTAATTGGCCCCCTGCTATTTCACGTGGCCTTTGTAACCAGACCACAAGACCCAGCTCCCCCACCCCCACGTGGGAAAGGGCTGTTTGGAAAAGGAACCAA